AACCCTGCCCTTTCATTTAAAAAACAGAACCACTGACATCACAAATTAATCCATACTGTTCTATTGGTCTTTCTTGTTACAAAGAATTGTTACAATATTTTTGAAGCCCTAATATAATTACTAATCAAAATTGCAGACTGAAGACATCTTGAAAATTTTGCAATTTTCACTTTTTTTGGTCTTAATTTTTTGGTGGTGAGCTTTCATGCTGTCTTGGCGGGCCAGATGAAAAGCCTCCGCGGGACAGATCTGGCCCGCGGGCCGTATCTTGGGCACCCCTGGTGTAGAATTACAAACAAATCCCCAGTGTGCACCAATTTCCCCACTTGGGAGGTTAAATTGCAAAATGGTTGAATTGCATAAGATACTGTGTAAAATTAAGAGCAGCACAAAAACACTAGACAAGTGACTGAAGCAGGTTGAACAGAGGTTGAATTGCAAGTCAACCTCCCAGAAAATTTGACCATCAAATTGCCAGAAAGATGAATTGCAGGAGGTTAAATTTTGACAAGGTATCACCTGTATCCCACTCAGCTAAACCATTCCATGCTGATAATCTTCCTGCAAGTGGGGGCTATACAAATACTGATGTATTGTGCATTAGACATCCCATACATTTTCACAGTTCCTGTTCTAATTGTTATTGTTTTTTTTACTGTCACTGATGTACTTCCAATTAATGATCAGTTTGTTGTCCACTACTATAGGTGTCATGTACTATATGACCAGAAGGTATTGCAGCAACTTCCTACTCCAAAGGCCCACCAAGATCTTTTTTTTTTCAGGAGCTGAGCCCATTGGTGAATGAATTGATTTCACCGACCATTGCCCCCTCCAGGGTGCTGAAGGAAAAGCTGCCAAAGGGGGGGTCAGGTGCTTGATGGATGGATCTGCGCCAGACCCAGGATCTTCAGGGGAGGCATGAAAGGGAGCAGCAGACGTATACATGGGTACAAATTCAATAAAACCAGGCGCCAGCCAGCACCAAGATGAAAAGAGAAACAGAACAGAAAAGCTACTTTTTTTCTGGCTCAAGCTTTTTCCCCCACGCAGAACAGGAATCCCCCCCTCTCTTGGTTCATAAAACCTATAGGGGCTGCTTTTCTTGGCATCCTTTACTCATCCTCTCCACAAAGGTTCACTTGCTGCTTTCGTTTATTCACGCCCTGGATTTTCGGGATCCACCATGTGGGAACTTTGTCAAGCCAAATGTACCAATTGGACAAGAAAATTTTTCATGTTTCGTCATAAGCTTGCAGCACAATTGCAAGCCAGGTCAGCCAAGCATTCTCCCATTCGGGAAAATTCATATCTCGATTAATAAACCAGCGAACGCGACTTTTTAAAACTATTTTTTCTCCAAATATTAAAAAAAATAAGCGAACAGAATCCTCATGGTTCATAAAACCTAGAGGCATGCAAAGGTGGACGGAATCTGATGTTATGTAAGAAAAACCAACTTACACATCAATAAATTTCTCGGAGGCCATCAAAACAAACAAATAACACACGATTTTATGGAAATACTGCGAGATATATCCCAAAAAGTCCGGCTGACGACTCAGACGGCAAAAGGATGATTTCCAGTCAAATTTTGTGGGCATGGTTAATACGTGTTTATCCGAAATAAAATTTTTGAGATTTTGTTTTCTGAAGTACAGTATTATACAGTACAGTATATAGAAGTGGGTAATTTCGGTGGGTATTTAACAAGTATCATGTTTTTGATGGAGCTAGAGCCGACTTAATTCCTTTCGACAGATTTTAATTCCGCATTCTTTACTTTCTTCAAGTCGAATAATTTGCTAATACAGTAATACTATTTAATTTGAAGTTTTTGCGGTTTTTTTGTGAAATAGCACAGAAATTAGTTCCAAGTTGAACTCATTTTTTGACCGACTTCTGCTTTTGTTGCTTCACGTTCACATTGTTCTAATACTGTATTGTAGATCAGTGTTCCCCTACCTTGTTGGGCCTTTGGACCAGCAAATCAAAAATAATTGCAGGCTGGAAACTTGAAAAAAAAAAATTCTGTAGACCAGCAAAGTTTTGCGCAATTTTTGTAGACTCAAAATTGTTTTTGAAAGAATTTATGGAAGGTATTTAAAAAATTTATGCTGTTTGCAGACATAATGGTTAGAACCATTTCAGCACCTATTGTGAAATGTCTTCAAAAAAATTAGAAAGGTGTGCTAGAAAGGTTTCTCAGAATGAAAAATTAAAATAATTCACTTCAGGCAGTGAAAATTTGTCAGAAGTGTGATTAAGAGAAAAGCCAACTTTTATTTTTCATCATGTAATTTCAACTGCCATTGTCTTTCCAAAATTCAGATAAAGATGACAGATTTCAATACTTCTTTCAATAAATTATTATGCTGAAGAAAATTTCCCACAAGCTGGCAAAAAAATCATGCAAACTGATGCCAGTTGGCAGACCACGGGTTGCCGGGAACACTGTTGTGGAGTACGTACTGTATTTGATTTTAGGACTCAGGTTTTTTTTTTTGCGATTAAATAGTTCAGAAATCTGCAGGTTAAAGTTTCGAAAGCTGACCTCATTTCAACGACTTCTGGTTGTACTTTTGATGCTCGTTTTAAATTTCTGTGTTTATAATAATTTATTTGACGTGAGATTTTTATTTTTTATTTTTTGGTATTGGGAATAGTACAGAAATTGGTTTCAAGTCTCGGAAATCTGAACTCATTTCGGTTGGGCAGCTCCGCGGAATGCCAATGTCCAGATGCCGCGGAACTATACACAGAACGCATTTAATGCGACCCCCGCATCGCAGCCGATTCGTCATTTTTTCCCCTGCATTCAGGCTTACCTGATGTGACCTCCCCCCAACTTCGCTACAACTGATTTGTCATCTGCTGTGCAAGAATGCGCCTCGATCATGGGTGGGCGTCAGTCAGCATTTCCGCGTTTCTTTCTTTCCTCCACCACCACCAGCACCACCACCAGGTGATCAGGATCCAGTCGAGCATCTCTCTGGTTGCCTCTTCAAATGGCGATTTACGTTGGGTTTGCTGCTGCTCATGTAGCCGTCATATAGGAGTGGAACAGATGGGGTTTTTGTTGCATTTATTAGGTTTTTGTGTGCTTCAAACTATTGAGACATTTTCAGTTACTGATGCATTTACTCAATTACTGTACACAACTTGAGGGAATTTCCTCATTTCCCTCAAGTACAGTATAAGATTTACACCTATTTTTTTTATGGAATTTGCCAAAAAAAACCTATAAAGGTGGTGTAACCAAAAATGGTACAAAAAGGCGCGGAATTTGGAAATAAAACTATTCAATCAGCTGTGGGTTCAGCTGGGGATCTTGTCCCAAAGAAAAAGATAAAAATATATTTCTTTTAACCCCAAGATAAAATAATCACACAGCAAAAACAATCACACAGAAATTCGACTGACTCCAATGAGATCTCACGCTAGACTGACTGATTCAATTAAAATGGCATCTTCAATCTGTTGCAGGTTGAATATTCTGGAACATTCCTGAGAATTCCTGAAAGTAATCCAATTCCATATTACAGGTGTTTGTTGTACCCATGTGCAGAGAACGGTACAGTAACATACCAAATTATTCTGCCACAGGTGGTACTTTGCAATTCAACCCTTATCCATTGTTGGACTAGAATCACATTGCAAGACATTTTCAAATGGCATATTTTCTACATGGCATTTGATGTTACATGTCTCTCCACTGGTCAGCTTGCAATAAGACAGAGGTCAAATTGAGAGTTGACCTCCAAGCAAATTTAACTGTCAAATTGTGGGACTGTCAAATTGTGGCAGGTGAAATTGCAAGCTACCACCAGCTGTATCCCCACATAGGACTGGTACCCCATGCAAGAGCCAAGTTTGATACCATGCATAATTTTCTCCTACAAAGACTCAATTATGATCAACTGACACTACTGGATTTTAGGATTATTTTTCTGAAAAATGACTGCTGTCCGAATATATTGTACCACAAACACCCCCCATTGTCTGTCTCAATTTTCTGCAAGAAAGGTGCATGCGGTACTTGCATCAACTCACTGTCCAGTACTGCACTGCTGCAGTTTATTTTTAATACCATATTTACTCAATTGCCTCAGCACAACCTCAAATGAACCAAGCACATTGAGTTGCATAGGGGAATTAGGTAAAAATCAATCCTTGCAGCATATGAGACATGCACCCCATGCAGCTTTAGGTGTTCAATAAATTCAATTTTAAAAACCGCAATGGCAACCACGACTTCAATTTTGGATCAAATACAAGTGGAGAATATGAAACAAAGACGAATGCAAATTGAGCTATTACATTTTTCAAGTTGACGTTGAACCTGTTCATCTTTCTTTAAATTCGGCATTTTTCAAAATGCCCTATAATGAGCATATTCCCGCCGGAGTGCAGAAGAATGACACGCGGATTGCCGAAATGGCGGCCATCAAGTCGGAATGGAATCGGGGATTAATGATGATTGAGACTCCCCGTGGATTGGCACGTGAGGAACGGAACAATCCCGAGCACGCGCGCCGCCGACCTATCTGTCTCAATTTTCTGCAAGAAAGGTGCATGCGGTACTTGCATCAACTCACTGTCCAGTACTGCACTGCTGCAGTTTATTTTTAATACCATATTTACTCAATTGCCTCAGCACAACCTCAAATGAAACAAGCACATTGATTTGAATAGGGGAATTAGGTAAAAATCAATCCTTGCAGCATATGAGACATGCACCCCATGCAGTTTTTGGTGTTCAAAAAATTCAATTTTAAATACCACAATGGCAACAAAGACTTCAATTTTGGATCAAATACAAGTGGAGAATATGAAACAAAGACGAATGAAAATTGAGCTATACAGTATTACATTTTTCAAGTTGACGTTGAACCTGTTCATCTTTCTTTAAATTCGGCATTTTTCAAAATGCCCTAATGAGCATATTCCCGCCGGAGTGCAGAAGAATGACACGCGGATTGCCGAAATGGCGGCCATCAAGTCGGAATGGAATCGGGGATTAATGATGATTGAGACTCCCCGTGGATTGGCACGTGAGGAACGGAACAATCCCGAGCACGCGCGCCGCCGACCTTTGACTGTGACCCTTCGTTGCTCACCGAGTCGGAAACAGTTTTCTTTTTCTACTTAAAAGCATTTCCTCTCTCGTTTTTTTCATTCTATTAAAATCTTGTATTTTTTATTCTAAATTCTTTCAACCCCGCATACCGACGTGATAACACTTGCGCGCGTGTGGTTTCGGTCAGAAGGCAGAGCTTCATTCATTCATTCATTCATTACCTCTATACGAAATATTAGATGCACCTTTAATAGCGAGACAGATACATTTGTCAAGGATTCCACGGGATAAGTCAAGAAATGAAGCTGCAGGCTTTTTTTTTTTCTGTGATGATTGCATGAATGTTCAATGCAGTAATGAACAAGGTTATGAAAAATTAGGCAAACACTGGTACTGTATAATCGCATAAGTGTTTGCCCTGTGGATTGTGCGCTACATGTATAGTATTAAAACCCTTGCCTATTATCAGCATTTGAAGATATTTGCCTATTGTCTTTTTAAATCTCTGGGAAAGATAATATTCCGCACGTAAGTAAATGTGTCATGACCAAAAACCACGACATTTTGGAGGTTTTTGGTCATGTTACAACTTTAAAAAATTATTCATGACCAAAAACCACGACATATTGGTGGTTAAAAAATTATTCATGACCAAAAACCACGAAATATTGGTGGTTTTTGGTCATCAATAATTTTTTAAAGTTGTAACATGACAGGGATTATTGCAAGTACGGTGCGGTATATTGTACTGTATTCGATTACGTTTTTATTAATCAACATGATTTGCATTTTGAAATGTTTTCGCACAGGCCTGAATGGAAATAAGAAATTAAGAAAAGATGCACGCATCAGAATAAGTGTACGAGGAAACAGTGACCCCACATTTTTGCTCATCTTCGAAATACGACGCGGTCAAGCCTTGATCTACTTTTCAAATTTATATTCTGCATATACCCGCCCTTTCCTTGGTTTAATGAATCTCGTATTGGCTTGTTTGTTGTACACAAAAAAAATTAGTTACTTCTTGGATTCTTCGGCGTTGTTCCAAAAAAGGAGAACATTTTCAAGTTTTTTTTTCTTAATTCCTGACACAAAATTTGTGTTTACTGACTTTGCATTATGCAGGGAGTGACAATTTTGTCCGAAGTTCTGCACTCTACGACGATATTCTGCAATCTACAAATTTACGTTTTGGTGATGAAATACAGTTAGACCCCCATATGCGGACAATTTGACATATGGACATTTATTTACCCATGAAAAATGCATTAAAAAGACTCAAAATGTGGACACTGACTTGACATGAGGACATTGCATGATAAAACCACCAATAAAATCCAGGAAAAATGTCTTTTATCAGGCTTAATTTTACAAAACAGATATTTCCAACCCGAATATCTATGGAAGAAAAGTTCTTGGATATTTTCCCATCATTTTTCCATTCATTCAGCTAATTTAAAAAAATTACCTCCAGCATAGAGGGACTTCATTCTCTATTTTTGAATTGATTGTCATTTTAACAGTTTCCAAAATTGCAATTTACTGAACAGAGGTGCAGTATTTAAAGTTACAAATGTTCTTATTGATTTGAAAGATAATCACTGAATTAATTTCAACTAGCAGACAATTTTTTCCATGGAATTCTGATATTTATTTCTTCCAAAAAACACCAATTAAAATGTATATAATGCAAGTCTATGTGAAAAAAGACCCAATTTGGGGACATTTCAACTTATAGGGACACACTTGATGCACCAATTACGTCCGCATCTTGGGGTCTCACTGTACTTGCGGAATATAATATGAGACCTCCTTGTGGGCACAAGGGAGCACGCGGAGAATTTTAAAGGTGAACTCAGTCACAGAACCGAGGACCTCATGTCCAAGCTAAAGCAGGTCG